TCGACTTTAACAGTTGAAAAGATTCTGGCTGCCGTAATGAAAGTGTTGCAGTCTAAAGACAAAATTGAACTGGATACGGGATTCTCGGTGGATGTGATTACTATCAAACGGCCTGTGGGTGCTGGACGGAACAGGAAAGTAGTCAACATCTCCATGGACTGACTGGATAAGAAATCTATTTTGTTTATTCCCTATGACGACGAAGGACTGTGCTGAGCTAAAGCGATTGTTTATGCCTTGGCGCATTTGAACAAGGACATGAATGCGATCAATGCCATGAGAGATTGTCGTCGACCAGCACTTGTGAAACGGGCAAAGGAACTTCATATGGCTGCGAATGTGCCTCTAGGCCCTTGCACATTTTCAGAAATCGCCATATTTGAAGAGCACTTGGACACACCAAATTGCAGTGTTCTCTTCGGAAAATTTGAATAGGGTAAGTCAATTTTGTCTCAAGATATTTCTGCTTGTAAATATTAGCTTTGAAATTACCTGAATTTTTCTACATATTTATTTATTTTAAAATCGTAATTTGATTTTAGTTCCATTTTGTTTATTTGTCAAATTGTGAATGAAAAAAATTTATTTTGGTATGATTTTTAAAATTAATCTTAAACAGTTTTTGTATTAAAGTTCATGTTTATTGGTGATACTTTCATTTTGTTTATGCGTTGAAAAAATATAACTTGACAAAACTGAATGCAGGCTGAAAATTTATTTTACTTTTAAATTTTAAGATTAATATTTGTTCATGCATATTGTTTTTCCATGTTTAAAAATATAACGGCTAAAAAATTGATTTCTAATTGTTCGATTTTTGAATTATTTTTAAAGTTTCTGCATGGTGACTTTTTTCATTTCCACCTTAAAAATATAATTGTAAAAATGTTTTATTTTTGATAAAAATTTTAAAACTTATTTTATGCAATTCATTTACCATGTTTAAAAATATATCTCGTAAAATAATTTTATATTTATTAAATTTGTATTTTATGCATGCATTCGTTTCCATGTTATAACTTGTAAATTTACATGCATGGTAAATTTTTATTTTTAGATTACTTTTCAAATATTTTTTATTTTATGCATGCAGTTTATTTAGACGTTAAAAAATATAACTTGGAAAAAGGTTTTATTTTTGACAAAATTTTAAACTTACTTTCTGCAGTTCGTTTAGATGTTTTAAAAATATAACTTGTAAAAATTTTTTTATTTTCGGTTAAATTTGTATTTTATGCATGCAATTCATTTCCATGTATAATTAACTTGGAAAAATTAAATGTGCAGGTAATTTTTAGATGTTAAAAATGGATTTATAAATAGTTCAAGATTACTTTAAGAGAAAAATGTTTGTCTATGTTTTAGGTGGTCTATAAAGGAAAGGAGAGGTCTCAGCGGATCAATTTATGGCTCCACGATGGACATTACGATGTGATCAAGTCCCCCAAAGGGTTCTTCGGCAGTAATCATTACTGCACGAACTGTAAAAAGGACTACCAAATGCCTGAAAGTCATAGATGTGCCAATGCCTGTCCCATATGCTTGAGAACCGACTGCTTTCCAGGCCAGTCCCAACGATGTCAGGATTGTGACCGTCTATGCCACTCTGATGCCTGTTACGCAGCACACAAAGCCGTCACTGGAAATGAAGAGTTTTCACTTTGCGATAGGGTAAGTGTTTTTTGAAAATTATATCTTAATGAATCAAAGTTATTTATCATGTAATTTTCTTCAAAATTGTTGTGTTTAAAAAATTATTGTCGTTACATTTTTATTACCAGTGCAGGGAATGCAGTGCCAAGTGATTGAACGCCGTAAGTGCCCTAAAGAGTCTGCATAAGATGTGGCACCACCAAATGCCCTTCTTGCGGCCAGTTTGTCGTGGACTGCTGAGCACCGTTGCTATTTGCGACGTGTTTGCTCCGAAGAAGTCTGATGACAAGTTCATCTTCTTTGACTTTCGAAACGGACCAGTCTTCAGGGGAAGCACCTCGTAAATTTCGCGGTGGCTCAGTATGCCGACGGCACTAGAGCAGGTGTTTCCGGGTATGCACGAAGCATGCCAAGATTTCTGCGCCTGGCTGTTCACCACACAGCACAAAGGGCTTCACCGCCGTGGCACACAACATGAAAGGGTAAGTTAAAAATTACCATAGTTTGCATGATTCTTTTAAGTATGACTATTGCTTTCCAATATTATTCATAATATTTGTTTTACTTACGGGATTCGATGGGCAGTTCGTGATGGCCTGGCTCCTGGAGCAAGGTACAGCGCCGGAGGTGATCCCTAACGGGTCCTATGATCATGAGTGTAAGACATCCTAAGTCTGAACATTCGGGTCATAGACTCGTTAAACTTTTTTCTACCGATGGCGTTGGCCAAACTACCGGGATGCTTCGGTCTCACCGAGTTGAAGAAAGGATACTTCCCTGCATCTCTTTAACTCCCGAGGGAAAACCAGAGTTATGTCGGAACCGCTGCCTGAAGCCCCGGTACTATTACAGCCCTGGATACCATGAGCACTTCAGCCCGACAGAGCATTTCTGTCCTGGCATGAAGAACACAAGGGGATGTGTTTAATTTCAAGAGAGATGCTGGCCTATTGCAGGTATATTTTTTTCCTTCTTGTTTCATTCTATTTTTTAATGTATTATTTTATTTATGTTTATATATTTAACATTTTTTCTATATTCATAGATCGGACGTGGATATTCTTCGCCGCTGTTGACGGAAGTTATCAACCTCTTTTTAATTCCATGAAAAACGTAAATTTTGAAGAAGGATTACCATCTAACCTGCAGACTCTTCAAAATGCTTTAATTATCATAGACGATTTAATGTCTGAATTAGCAAGTGATACTCGCTTAAGCAAACTTTTTACAAAAGGAAGTCATCATCGAAACCTTTCAGTCGTTTTTATAACACAAAATCTTTTTCACCAAGGCAAGGAGATGAGAAATATTCATTTAAATTCCCATTACCTTGTCCTATACAAAAATCCTAGAGATAAAAGTCAAATTATGCATTTAGCTAGACAAATGTTCCCCGGAAAAGTAAAGGCCTTTCAAGAAATTTTTCAGGATGCTACTTCAACTCCATTTAGCTACTTGTTGATTGATTTACGACCTGAAACAAGTGAAACGCTTCGCCTTCGTACAGGCATCTTTCCTGGGGATAAATACTATGTCTACCAGCCCCGATAGTTCATTTCAGTTTGAGACGTCGAATGGCTAACATGTCTTCTTCCATCGTGATCGATTTCGAAGGTTTTCAGTGGATGCCTCATTATTACATTGTTAAAGAATTAGCTTTTTACTCCGTGCATGAAGGATATCACAGTTGCTGGTCATTTTTACCTCCTCAGCCTTGGAAAACATTATCACGATCTCAGCAAAAGTGTTTTGCTTGGGTCACAAGAAATCGTCATCATCATGTGAATTGGAGTGAGGGTGTTTACCTTATACTCATCTTCGTATTATTTTGCAATATTTGTCATCTATTTATTCTGTCATATACGTGAAAGGATTAGAAAAGAAATTATTTTTAGAAAATTTATTAGGTAGAGACATCATAAATCTAGACTGTCCTAAGATAGAGAATTTAAAAAAGAAAAGTTCTTTAACATGTTCGATTCATGCAAAAGGATTTAATTGCTGTGCTTTAAACCAAAGCGGCTGCATTTGCTACCTATATAAAAGAAAGTGTGCAGAAAAAGAGCTCATTTGTCATCAGCATGTCTCATCTGAAGGATGTGGATTATCTAAAACTATTAGGAAAAAGTCGAATAAAAGCAGCTGTACTGAAAAAGTGTCCGAATCATCTCATCAAATCAGTTTGTGAATGCGTTTTAAATCTTCTAAAAGGAAACGTACCCATCACCAAACGCGTCAAAAATCGACTCGCCCCTTTTAAAAGAACTTTAAGAAAACTAGCGGACAAAAAAGTACCTCTTTTTAAGAAAAGACGTCTTTTGGTTCAAAAAGGTGACGGTTTTCCTATCTTTCCTGATTCCTGCAGCAGTCAGTGTCTTATCCTCCCTTATCCATGGAACACAGTAAGAAATTTGCGCTGGTACCCCTGGATCGTATGCAGCAATTTGAAGATGAACATTTGAGTGATTTAGATACCCAAATTCAAAACATCTTAAAAAAGAAAATGGACGATGAAGAAAAGTCCTAAATTGTACATCCAGGTTCTGCAAAAGTATGTTACATTTCCTCATGTGAAACACTTCCGAAAGAACAACCGCCTGAACAACGTTCTGAGAAAGATATAGAAAAAGAAATTATGCAAACAGTTCCTGTGAAGCAGAAAAGAACGGCACAGAAAATAATAGATTTTCTAAAAGAGCATCAGATTTCCTGGACACAGAATAAAGAACTCATTCTGGATGATCATGTGTTTTCTGGGCTCTGACATTGTTCAGTTGATAAACTTTCTGTTGAGAAATAGAACTCAAAAACCTTTTGCCTTTGAACAGTTTAAAAATGTACTGAATGTTAACAACTTTCCTCAAGACTTTGTGAAAAACAAACATTTAATGAATGTAAAAACTATGTATGCTAGACCTAAAAGAAAACGCATCTTCCAAACTATGGCTGAAATTGTAATGAAATGTGAATAAAAGTAATGGCTGATTATTTGTGTTATGTTTTTCTTTCTAATTAAGTTAACATAATTTTTAAAAATAAAATATGACAATTATTTTCTAGGAAAAACTTACCTTTCATGAAATCCTTTCAAATAAGAAAAACACAATTTTATCATTCAAACTTCTGTTTATTTTTTTTCTAAATAAGTTTTCTTTTATACACATACAAATGCATGATTCTGCACATATATATATATATTTTACATACAAAATTTCATTTTCAGATAAGGTTCTAACATAAACATAAAAAGTTCTTCTTCAATATACTAATGACCATACGGCAATGTGCTCAAGTCTTTTTGAATTACCCGTTTATCCAACACAATTCTGTACAGTTTTGTCTCGGGTTTATTCATCACCTTTCTTCTCTTCGCTTCTCGGGTGATTTTGGAGGGGTTGTGGAGAGAGAGATGATCTCACTTCGGTCGAGGCTGCAGACCAGACGTTTATGGCTTCAAAATTCAGCAACTGAGAATTCCGGAAGTTCAAGGAAAATCCTCGGACTTTGCAGCAGGTTTTCCCAGTGGCCGTCTGGTATGCGTAGTTTTTCGGTCCTCCTGAAAAAATAACAAGATCATGAGAAAAAGAGATAATAATAAAAAACATGCATTAAACATTTTTGGTACACATTAAATAAAGAACTTTTTAAAGGTCCTTACCAGAGACGAAGGTTTTGATGACATCACCCTCCAGTTCATCCGTGAACTCTCCAAGAAAATTTCCTAACGGGGGATCATTTCTTCCATTTGAGGCATATATTATGGAGTCTGTGTCGTGATACAGGACGTCCCTACCCAATTTTTCCATTTCACTATACAGCTTGAGACGAGCCCAAGCTGTTGTGAACGTCGCTAGGAAAATGTTGGTAGAGGCATCCTGCGGCACAAACTCCTTTGAAGATTCCCAGGAAATGGCAGCCACCTCAGGCGTGGGAAGAAAGACATCCTTGATCTGAAAATAAAAGAAGAGTCATGAGATAACAGTTCAAAATAGTTATGAGTTAACAGCTCGCAAAATACATTGAGTTTACAGATGAATAAAATCGGTAAGGAAACTTACTGTTTTAGTAGGATCCGCCAACATCTTATTAAATTCTGGCACCGTATGGTACATAGGTCAAGTTGTCGCTTTGTTGACGTTCATACCCCATCTGAAAAAAAAATCCAACATAAATCAAAGAATTAAAAATGTTTACAAAAAAATTTAAGTACAAAAGAAATCATCTTACCTGCCCCAGAAACTGTTCAGGGCCAACTTGGCGACTTGTCGACGCCCAGGGTTCTTTTTTTCGAATATTTTTTCAGCGTCCAACTTGACGCCCTCTCTTTCTTCATACTGGCGAATGTACTTCAGTCTGGCTTAGTTCGTCACACACTCCGAAGGCCATCCGCTACTTTCCTGCTTGATCTTCAGAAACAGATCAATGTATGATCGAAACAGGGAAGTAGACGATGCCTGGAAATGGTACACTTCGTAAATCTAGAAAATAAAAAATAAATTGTCAGTTATAACAAAATTTTTAAAAGTAACCTCTGAAACTAAATAAAGATTAAAATAATCTTTGAGTACTTACATGTGTGACGCGGTAACCTTTCTTTTTCGCCAGCTTGACTTCCTCCGATACCCACGTTCCGACAAGAGCTCGCTCGTCGTCTGTGTGGGTACACGGAGTCTGCAGTTGAAGAAAGGCACAAGTCCGACACAGGGGGAACATCAGCTTCTTCCGGCACCGATAGGGCAGTACCGGAAGATACAGATTCCGTGGAGGAATCACACGGCATTGGATAATTCCAAAAATAATCTTCTATATCTCCTAAAGCTTTCCGTGATGATTGTTGGATGTCCCACAGGGTAGACGCAATACTTGTTCACCTGTGAATAAAAAAAAAAAAAAGTCAGAAAAAACACATCATCAAAATATACAGAAAATTTAGAAAAGTTTAAGTAAACATTTTTGAAATAATAAAAAGTACGAACCCATGGATAGAGTGATGTAAAATCCACATATTTTGCGTCTCCCTCGTGGAACAATTTGAGGGCATTGGTCCTTCCTCCAAAAAACGACTCGCGAGGATTGAGTCGGATCCCTCAGATGGTGTTGATCCAGGAAAGCTTGGAGATCTGGATTTTCCTCCTTCTCTCTTTGAAATTCATGCTCCCACATTTCGATGACGTGGAAACCCTGGGTGCGAAGCTTTCTTGTCGTCTCTTCTGTCTTTTCTCTTAACGTTGCCATGGAAACCCCTTTCAGTGGATGTATGATATCACCATCGTAACACGAACTACATCCGTGGAAGAAACAGCCCTAAAATAATACAAATATATTAATAGTGTTCCACATGTAAATTAAACATTAAAAGTGTAAAATCATTAAAAAGAATCATATAGAAATATAATTTACTTTTTACATACCTGAAACTGATAGACGGTTTGTGTTTCTTGGCAGAATCCGTCTACCGAGATTCCGGCGACTCTGTGCTCTCCGGAACCGTTCAACGCATGTTGAATCTGTAGGCCTTCCGAAGCAGCAACAAAGTCCAACCATCGGATCGAATCAGGGCTGTAATTCGTTGAGTTGATGTAGCCGTGTGTAGGCACCATGGCAATCGTGTCGGGTTGAATGTGGCCACTCCGATACGTTGCCATACAGGCTGACGCAATGGTCACGTATCTGAAAAGACAAAAATAAGAACGATTTAATGAACTGTAAATATGATTATTATTGTATAAGAAAATGAGAAAATGACTTACTGGAATGGATCCACATTCGCCACATCCAAAAACTGGGCTCGAAACTCCAGACAACAGCGGCGAAGAATATCCACGTCCGATCTATGAATATAAAAAGAAAATGTTAAATATACGAAACATAAAATATAAAATTAAAGCAAGAAAAAAGGAAAAAACATACCTGCAATAGGCCAGCATCTCATCTTGAAAGTTAAACACATCCCCTTGTGTGCTTCATGCCAGGACAGAAATGCTTGTCGGGCTGAAGTGCTCATGGTATCCGGGCTGTAGTACCGGGCTTCAGGCAGCGGTCCGACATAACTCTGGTTTTCCCTCGAGTTAAAGAGATGAGGGAAGTATCCTTTCTTTAATTCGGTGAGACCGAAGCATCCCGGTAGTTTGGCCAACGCCATCGGTAAAAAGTTTAACGAGTCTATGACCCGAATGTTGAGACTGGGGTGTCTTACACTCATGATCATAGACCCGTTAGGGATCACCTCCGGCGCTGTGCCTTGCTCCAGGAGCCAGGCCATCACGAACTGCCCATCGAACCTGTAAGTAAAAAAATATTCATGAATAATATTGAAAGCATAGTCATAATTAAAGCATGCAAACTATGGTATTTTTAACTTACCCTTTCATGTTGTGTGCCACGGCGGTGAAGCCCTTGTGTTGTGGGGTGAACAGCCAGGCGCAGAAATCTTGGCATGCTTCGTAACCCGGAAACACCTTTTCAGTGCCGTCGGCATACTGAGCCACCGCGAAATTTACGAGATGCTCCCCCGAAGACTGGTCCGTTTCAAAGTCAAAAAAAAGATGAACTTGTCATCCAGACTTCTTCGGAGCAACACGTCGCAAATAAACAACGGTGCTCAGCAGCCACGACAAACTGGCCGCAAGACGGACATTTGGTGGTACCGCACTTATGCAGATCTTTAGGGCACTTACGGCGTTCAATCACTTGGCAGCAGTCCCTGCACTGGTATACCTGTAACGACAATAATTTTTTTAACATAACAATTTTGAGAAAATTATATGATAAATAACTTTGATCATTAAGATATATTTTCAAAACACTTACCCTATCGCAAAGTGAAAACTCTTGGTTTCCAGTGAGGGCTTTGTGTGCTGCATAACAGGCATCGGATCGGCAGAGACGGTCACAGTCAGGGCATCGTTGGGGCTGGCCTGGAAAGCAGTCGGTCCTCAAGCATATGGGACAGGCATTGGCACATCTATGACTTTCAGGCATTTGGTAGGCCTTTGCACAGGTTGTGCAATAATGGTTGCTGCCGAAAAATCCTTTCAGAGATTTGATGACGTCGTAATGTCCACCGTGGAGCCACAAATTGATCCGCTGAGGCCTCTCTTTGCCTTTATAGACCACCTAAAACATAGACAAACATTTTCTCTTAAAAGTAATCTTGAACTATTTATAAATCCATTTTTAACATCTAAAAATTACCTGCACATTTAATTTTTCCAAGTTAATTATACATGGAAATGAATTGCATGCATAAAATACAAATTTAACCGAAAATAAAAAATTTTACAAGTTATATTTTTAACATCTAAACGAACTGCAGAAAGTAAGTTTAAAATTTTGTCAAAAATAAAACCTTTTTCCAAGTTATATTTTTAACGTCTAAATAAACTGCATGCATAAAATAAAAAATAATTTGAAAAGTAATCTAAAATAAAAAATTTACCATGCATGTAAATTTACAAGTTATACATGGAAACGAAATGCATGCATAAAATACAAATTTAATAAATATAAAATTATTTTACGAGATATATTTTTTAACATGTAAATGAATTGCATAAAATAAGTTTAAAATTTTTATCAAAAATAAAACATTTTTACAAGTTATATTTTTAAGGTGGAAATGAAAAAGTCACCATGCAGAAACTTTAAAAATAATTCAAAAATCGAACAATTTAGAAATCAATTTTTAGCCGTTATATTTTTAACATGGAAAAACAATATGCATGAACAAATATTAATCTTAAAATTTAAAGTAAAATAAATTTTCAGCCTGCATTCAGTTTTGTCAAGTTATATTTTTCAACGCATAAACAAAATGAAAGTATCACCAATAAATACATGAACTTTAATACAAAAACTGTTTAAGATTAATTTTAAAAATCATACCAAAATAAATTTTTTTCATTCACAATTTGACAAATAAACAAAATGGAACTAAAATCAAATTACGATTTTAAAATAAATAAATATGTAGAAAAAATTCAGGTAATTTCAAAGCTAATATTTACAAGCAGAAATATCTTGAGATAAAAATAATGACTTACCCTATTCAAATTTTCCGAAGAGAACACTGTCAATTTGTGTGTCCAAGTTGATCTTCAAATATGGCAATTTCTCCGCAAAAGTGCAAGGGCCTAAAGGGATACATTCGCATCTAAATGAAGTTCCCTTGCGCGGTTCATCAGAGTTGGCATTACGCCGATTCTCTCAATGCATTAATGGCCCATCGTGTATCCTTGTTGCAAATGCACCAAGGCATAAACAATAGCTTTGGCACAGCACAGTCCTTCCTCGTCGTATGGAATAGACAAGAATGGACTGTTTTCCTTAATCTGTCCATGGAGATGTTGACTGACCCTTCCTATTTCGTCCGGCACCCACAGGGCGTTTTATGGTGATCACATCAACTGCAAATCCCGTATCCAGTTCAATTTTGTCTTTAGACTGCAACACTTTCATCACGGCAGCCAGAATCTTTTCAACTGTTAAATTCGAAACTGCCATCAGGGACGTGCTAATCGGCTTATCCAACCCATCTGCTTGGATACAGAATCGGATGAGGTCTGATGGGCCCAGATTTGCTGTTGTCCGGTGAATAAGTTGCTCAAACAACTCCCGGACGGTGTCAGGAATTCGGACCATCGGGATGCCTTGCACGTTCTGAGGCAGCCGTTCCATATCTATACTGGCCCGCAAGGTAATCTCCTCGGCCTGATATTTATGGTTCCGTCGACGAGACTTCTCTGTGAGTACAATCGCCTCATCAATCTGGAAAAAAAAAATAAATAAGTTTCAGTAATAATTAAACATTTTCAAAATACATTATTTTAATAAATCATGCAAGAAAAGAAAAATATATACCGATCGTTCATTCGAAGCAGCCATATACACAGGGCCATGAGCTGATGAGGAAGAAGTCTAAAAATAAATACATTAATTTTAGTACTAAGAAAAAAGTATTCTAGCAGAATCTAAAAATGCTGAAATACTTAAATATTTACCTCAAATCCGGAACCCACTTGATAATACAAGGGTAGATCCATAGGATTTTCCAGAAAAATCTGATCCACTTCATCGATTAACTATCAAAATAAAATAAAATACGTTTAAAATACATTCAAATAGTAAATAAAATACGTTAAATAAAAAGTGCGTTAAAAATACGTGTAAAAAACTTACATCGTCATCTGAGTCCCGAAAAGGAAAGTCAGGATCTTCAAACAGGACCTAACAATTAAAAATTTAAATAAATAAAACATTCAAAAAGAAATAAAATTCGTGTTTAAAATAGTAATCTAGACATTAAGTACAAGCGAAAAATACTTACATTAGATGCAGAATAAGTTCGTTCAGCAGACATCGTGTACAAGAAAACGAAATGGCGCAGAGGAAAATGACAGAGTCAAAATGACGTTCACTCAGCACGAATCAGAGTAGAAATGATGAAATCGTGAAAGCGAGCGAATTTATAGGCGATGTATAAGAAACAAACACGCTGATTGGCTGAAATAAGATAGAAAATATTAGTGAGAATCTGATTGGTTGTTAAGATTGTATACGTTCGCCACGGCGGATGTAGAAAGCGTGAAGCGGTTTCGACAGGCTGCAACGTGAAAGAGATGACGTTTGCCTGTTTCCCTCCCCCAGCCTATTGACGTCATGGTGATTTTCGCTCCAAACGGAAAAATAACAGGTTTGATAACATGAAGGGCTTAGCTGAGCGGTTAAGCGCTAGACTCCCATCCCAGAGATAGCGAGTTCGAATCTCAGCCGTGGAGTTACTTTTAAAATTCAGGGAAAATAATATTAAATTCATTAAAAATGGATTAAAATATAATGGAATCAATTAAAACTAATTAAAAATAATGACGGATTAAATAATTAAAAAAAGGATGATTCACAATTAAATAACGAAACATAATTAAAAATAATGAATAAAAATGATTAAACACTTAAAATAATAAATTAAAACGTATATCACAAAGAATAAAAACGAAACTTTGATGATGTCATTCCATGACGTGATACAAGATGGCGCTGGTGTCGTCACTTCCGGAGAAATCCAAGATGGCGGAGGCCACGCTTTTCTGTGACGTCACTTCCGGTTGTCACGTGATCCAAGATGGCGGAGGTGGCACATCAAAGGAACGCCCCCCCATTGCGACATCTATTGTTCTCTTGCGTCATCTATTGTTATATTACGTCATGGCGGCATCCTTTGACCGCACGGTTACCTCCGGTTACTACTGACAATTTGCCCTGAAGGACTATTAATTTCGTTTCGGCATTTTACGTCGAAAACTTAAAAAAGGCTGTATCACTTTTCAAATCGCTGCCACCTATATTATCATCCTATCTCATAGTTAAAGAAATTAAATAATGGAGAATCTGTATAAATGTATGTACGTTCTCGCATTGTGATAAAACAACGGTACCTAAGAGCCATCCAATTTTGAATAAGGTTATCCTCCACCGAATATGGGCATCTGAAAGCCCAAATTTGAATTTGAAATTTGTTTTATTATCGATTTCAGATTTTGTAACACTTCAGCGAATTTTAGGTTAAAAAACCTAAACGATTTCAAAGCGAGCAATGGCAATACTGTACTGGAAAAAAAAATTTTTTATCTCCAACGCGAGAGACTCTGTATCGGAAATTCTCAAGATATGCTCATTTTAAAATTAATTTGCGATATTGCTGTTGAACTGAATTTTATAATTTGAGTATGTAGAACATGAAATTTAATAAATAAAGGTAACACACAAAACATTAAAAAATAAGCCCCCTTTGGACGTAATTTAAAATATAAAACCTTTCATGTTTTCTAAATCTTACAAATTTTTTATTAATAGGCTGTACGATTTGAAAGCGAGAAATGGCAACACCTTTTGAAATAAAGCAGATTTTTATCTCCAGCGCGCAAATCTATTGCCACTCAGAAAATGAGTGCGAAAATTAGCGTTTTAAAGTCTCTAGTTAATATCTCGGCTAATCAAAGTCGTACGAAGATAAGAATTGTGGAAATAGTGTACGTAAATCTGTGATAATATTCCATAAAATATTAAAAACACGCGATATATATATTTTTGCAAGCTTTTTCATAAGAAAACTTAAGCGAAGTGTAATTTCAAACAACTGACATTGCCTGTTGACTCAAAAATATTTTGTTAAAACATGTTTCTTTTCACTGGAAAAATAACCTTCCCAAGGGTTGGTAGAAACTAATTTTAAACGAGGTTTTGTATCGCAGAATTTCAAGAATGGAGGACAAAAACACCTTAAGCTCCGCTCTGAAGAATTGATATCCGATAGCTCACGAAACGATGACGTGTAAAAAACTTCTGCTTGGTAAAATATAGCAATCTAGAAAACTTTGAATTTCACATTGGAACCAATGCCTCTCAGCTAAGATGTACTTCAATATCAAGAACAAAGAATATGTTAAGCTTGCATAAAACGAAAGGACTTGATCCTTTTTGAAATTGCACTTTTGATTGTTCACTTGACATTACCATGAAAAAGAAATTAATTTTATTTTTTGTAAGCCTCAAACAATTGAAGAAGATGAAGAAGAAAATACTAATTTTTACCCACCTTTGATTTTTTTTACGTTATTATTATGCCATTTATTAATTGCTATAATTTTCTTTCGAAACTCTTGTAATAAACGTTTACTGAAAGATTATTCTATATTAACAGAAAGAAATCTCATAGCAGTTTATGTACTGACGTGTATAGTTTTATTCTACAATATTCTCTCCTAAAAGTGAATGTAATAAAAAAACAAAAGTTCATATTTTCAACAAAACCGCTGTCGGATTATTACTCGGATTTTTTTTTCTTTGGCTAAAGACGCCGTCTCGCGCTTAAATCGCTTTACTTTGCAACTAAGGAGCTTTAACTAAGGAACATTATCAGCAATTTTTTTTTTATCTGTCATTTAGCAATCTTACTACTCAGACTGTTATCCGGGGTTCGCCCGTAAGCAGACTAGCACACAATAATACAAAATAAATGTACAGAAATATATTAGAATTATAAACAAAAACGTATTGTTGCGTACGTAAGTGTTCGTAATAGATTGAATGCACATGTCCGATAATAGGTTAATAAAATTTAATTTATTTTGATCAAAAGAAGTATTTCAGAATTCTGGAATTTTTCCACAGAAATATTCGTACACGTGTTCACAGTATCAGGCAGTATAATCAGTAGTTGTACTTCAAACTACTAAGATCGTTAAACACAATGAAATACGAAGCGTATCCATCTAAAGAGAAAGTTAATCCGAACTCACCCTGAACTCGCAACAATAGCAACAACAGCAACTAACTAACTGACTAAATAACTGACAGCAGATGCTTATTTTCGGTTTTAAATAGTGCTCAGTCGACCTCTGAGATATTTCTAGTACTTTTGGCTTCTCGAGATTACTGGAAAGCAATTCGAGGGTGGAATTACGCTTACAGCTAACATAGTGGTCAATTACATTTATTCAATTTCAATACATATTACGATGATACAGGGACCGTACCCAAATGTCGCCAAATTGTCACCAGATTTGGCGACTTTTGGCTTTTTTGAGGCGAGACTTTTTCCTTTTTCGAGGCGAATTTGGCGACACAAAAGTAGCCAAAACTGCTGTCAGCTTGGTGATATGTCACCAAATTACCGAGGTACCCATTTACTCCATGTTAAATGCAATGTGCCTGTATACCTACTTTTCCGGCAAAGCTTTCTCTTAAAATTACTCTCGCGCTACATCACACAGAAAAATAAACAATTTTACTTACAATTTTACTGAAATTACCTATTTAAGTACAAAATTCGTAACATTATATTAATTTGAAGCTTCATTTAATTTTTATTTGCATTTATCAATAAGCTTCTTTACTTCAAATTACATTTTCCTTATGCTTTATCGTTTCGTGGATATAAATCGTGCATTATTGGGAAATTTTTATCAGAAACTGTGCTATATTTCCTAATAAATATTTAATGTCTCCTAATAAGTAAACTAGATTAAAAAGCATTATAATAATTGCTCTTAATTATTTCGCTTGAAACCTGTTCTAAAGCATCACAGATATTTACGCGAAATATTTTCTCCCTTAATCTCTTTCACTCTTCATTAGAACATTAAAGAAATTAAACAAGATCCAATTCTAAAGCAATTTTAGCTTTGTCATACATTCAGCAAGTGAATTTTGTGAAATGCTAATTTTTACGTTTTTTTCTAAATTTTGAAGGATAACTTAATACTAGATAATCCTGAATCAATTTGAATACGTTGCAATTATCATATGTCATTTGCGTAATTGTCTCTCTCACTGGAAATTATACTGATGTCCAAATGACATAAATGCCGTATTATAGGTATTTAGCATAATAATCGCAATTCATTTAACATTTGTGAATTTTATGCCTTTATATTCAAGATAATGCTTTAAAGTTCTGCTACAACACTTAAGAAGAAAAAAAAAAGCCTTCATTCCGAATATTTTTGCATGCTTTAAAGAATTGATAAAATAAGTTAATTGAAAAAATTAATATGAGATTAAAAAAATAATAAACTGCAGCTTGGGTAATATACTGAAATTTTTCCCATATAATTAAGTTGCAAAGCCGGATTTTTATCCCTAAAGAGACGTTAGCATTAGAATGAGGTATTAGTCTCAAAACGGTATTTTGCGTCAAACCACTTAAATGCATTGTATTACTTTTCAAATTGTTGCCACCAAATATTATCGCCCTGTACTATGTTTAAGGAAATTGTATAATGAAGAATCTACATGAATGTACGTATGTATTTTCCTCGCATAGTAAAGAAACAAAGGTATCTGGAGCAAACAAATTCTGAATAACGTAGTCCTTCATCCGAACTTGGGCACCCGGAAGCCCGAATTTTGAATTTTGAATTCGTTTTATTTACTACTTCATGTTCAACGAAATTTGAGTAAAAAAACTCAAAGCCAACAGTGGCAACACTATACAGATTAAAACATTTTTAATATCCAATGTTCGAAACTGTCTGGCGAAAATTCTAAAGAAATGCTGTTCTTAAATATATTATAGTTTTGTTATTGAATCGAATTTTATGCGGCATAAGCGCCGAGAACGTGATGTTTAATAAAAAAAAGTAAACAACAAAAAAGTTAATAATGAAAAGACAAATGTTTTGCAATGTGACCTCAGTAAGAAAACTGAACTTGATACGATTATCTCAGAAAAGACTGAAAGAAAAAAAAAAAAAAAAAAGACAACTATATGTCAACACTTAATGGTGCATCATAAATTCTAAACCCATCCTGCTATGCTGCTTTGAAAATTTTTGTAATTTTGCTGTTGAGTTGCATACG